TTAGTTCCTTTAGTACGTTCAAAATGCTGATTCTGATGTGTCTTGCATAGAACATCCTGTATCTGCTGCTTTCATTCTATTAAAGTTTGGTTCAGGCTTTTTTCCCCTATCTTTTTAAGCCATCAGCTGTGGGTTTACATACATTCCTCACGCTTCTCTGGTCTTTTTTCTTTATTGGTTTTTGCTGTGGTGGGGTTTTTTCTTGGTTTGTGTTTCTTATTTTCTTGTTAGTTGGTTTATTTTCCCTTGGAACCTATTGGCGATGCTTGTTTCTGAGCAATGTTTCACTTCCATCTGGCCATGTAAAACTAACTGGGCACAAAACTTTCCAAAATTACCTGAATTTCCTGCCAGCAGAATACCTTTTTTGTCTGATTTCCCCTTTAAGCCTTGATCTCAGTTATTTCACTACAAGAATTTCGCCACAAGAATATAGTGGTTTTCCACTTAAAAAGAAAAATGTGTGTTCCATTTTAAAATGTCTTTTACTCCTTGTTGTAAATAACTCCAGTAATTCTATTTCTAGGAAGACTTGAAGAAATGTATTCTTTACATGCATATAAAAGAAATCCTTCATTTCCTTCTTCAGATTAAAATTTAGGTTTTAACCAAAACTTAGGATGGCCTAGATTATATTTCACACTCTTCTTTGATACTTTTTTCCCTAGGATTTTAAGGCAACTTGGTGGTGATTTTTTATTATTCATTTATATAACGAGACTTGTTTCATATGCTACATTTCCAGTAAGTTTACTCCTATAAAATAGTGTGTGGCTTGAAATGATATCTGGTCTTCTGGTTTTGTTTTGGTTTGGTTTTTTTCTAATTAAGTCTGTAGTAGTATTACACACAGTTGATGTGATATATCTCTCGGTAGCTGCTAGAGGGCAGCAGTATCCATTTAAAAACACCGTTAACAGTTTCTTAGGCTGCTGAGCCCTCTCCTGCTGCTGTGTCCCAGCAACTTCTGCTCACTGAAGCTACCTCAGATTTTATCTGATGGTTGGTCTGCTTGCTTTTTAGTATCAGAAAACAGAAGTAAAATAGATATTATGCAAATGAATTCAAGAGAGCATCCCTGTTGATACGTGTGTTCTTTCTCTAATAGGAAATCAGATGATGCAATGATGTTTTTACAGGTCATCCTTTCTTTTTACTCTTACTGAGGTTCTTTTTTAGACTAAGAAGTGTATAATATTCTTTGGTTTCTATATTTTGTCCATACATTTTACTGTGTAAGAACCCTCTTGTCCTTGCATAACATTTAAATTAACCTCAAAGCATCACACTTTGCCTTTCTCACTAAAAAAGTATTTTTCTCAGGCTAAATTCTCAACTGACTTCAAGAATAATTTGTTTCCTTGCTTTACCCCCTTGACATTGCTACAGCTGATGTGACAGAGATAAACAGGTTCAGACCTTGCATTGCAGAAGAGCCTGGGTGCATGTGTTTAGAAGTTGTTGACTTGTTTGCCTTCAGTAGGAAATGGCTACTAAAAAGCTTTTTTAATGGTCTGGTACCTTTAGAAATTTATCAACTTTTGTTATGTTTAAAGGGAAATTATAAACAAAAATCCTTCTTTAGATTGGCTCATGACTAAAATCACTGGGCTTTTCTGTCTGGGTTACAGATTGTCTCTAATAAATATTTTTTTAATAGATTCAGGCATCTTTCCAATCTTGAATCCAGAAGGCTTCAAGCCTTGAACTCAAATGCAGTTAATTTTCAGCCTGTGCTGTTCCTTGCACCATGTGAGGCTTGTCACCTGCCTTCTCATTCCCTGTCTCCTTTTTAATCTATTTTGATTACCTGCATATTAAAAAGAAAACCAGGAATGGACACAGTGATGTAGGGTTGTACAGGAGGTTCATCAACATCCCAGCAACAACTTGGGGAAACCTTTGTACCACCACCCCCACAACTTCCCTCCTGGCCATCAGGTCGACCCCAGCTCCTGCCAGCGAGCCCTGGTGCGTGCCAGCTCCTGCCACAGAGGTGAAGGTCCATCTGTTGGCTGGCACAGAGGTGTCAGCCCATCATCTGTATGATCTGGGAGCCGCACTCCTGAGCTGCTGACCCCTTTCCCCTTGCCTGCCTAGTTGAGATGTTACCCCTGTGACAGCCCGACAGGCGAGTGCCATCGAAGCCCGCTCCCCACCGCAATTATTTTCCCTAACAATTAGCACCGGTACTAACTTGACACCTTTCCCTTGTTTGGCTTTTGTAAACCATCATCCCTTTTTCTATTAATTCCTGGCATTAATATTTTCTTTCGCCCAAGTGCTGCCGCTCACCCGTGAAACAGTTTGAACATTATGTAGCTGTCAAGATAGCGAGGGATTACCCAGTGTGCCTTGCTGGAGTAAGTGACACCACTGAGGCCCCGCTTTGAGATGTTTATTTTGAGAGTAAGCTGACAAGCATGAAGGCCTGATCCCAGAGTGGCAATCTTATTTAATTAAAGGCCTCTTTTTGTTGTAGCTCTTTCCACCTCCCCGTTTTTTATATATTTTAATAGAAATACATATTTATATAAATATATATTCCTTTTATATACATATGTTTTTATGCAACAATATGTTTTTATGCAACAATATGTTTTCATAGAAATATATAAAAATATAAGTATATGTAAATAGGAAGACATTCTTGTAAATAGAAAGGAAGACATTCTTTATATATGTATGTGTATGTATAAACAAGTAATTGCTAAAGCCTGGCTCACGTGAGCATTTCTGGGCAGCCCTTCCCCCTCTCTTTATTTTCCTTTACTGTATAACAACCTGGAAAGCTTTCAGAGCAATAATGCAGTTGGGATGCTTGGAGTTTTATACTTGCAGCTATGGAACTTGCTGGCTGTTTGCTTTCTCTACGTCCTACATTTCTCTCTCTGTTCAGGTTTTGCCCTTGTTCATGGGTTTTCTGTGCCAAAAGCAGTTGAGTTATGGCCATAGACCACCTGCCTCCATCACCCTCTTTTTGCTTTCATTTCGTCAGTTGTTTTCCTTGTCTCGACCAGTTGCTATTTCATGCACAGAATAGGTGTGGACATTATTACTATTATTCTTAATAATGCAACTCACTCCTGATTATCCTGTAAATAAAAACCAAACAGTTTTTTCAGGTTTTTTTTCTTCTTTTTTTTTTTTTTTTCTTTTTAAAGGAGCTTGAATAAATTAACACCAAAGAGCTCTATTTCTTAACTTCTGCATCCTCAGAGGGCTACTGCCCGTATTGTGGGGCCACAGTTTATCTCTGTGTTTCCACATGTAGAAAGTGTTCTGGTTTTAAGCTGTATACTTTCTGTAAGAGTATAATCATAGTTCTGAGAAGTGTTCTAGGGGAAGGTCTAGTCCTAAGCTGTTGACACGCAATGAGAAGCTTCCCTCTGACTTTGAATCAGGCCCTTACTATTCTCCTCTCCTAAAGGAGAAGGAAAATATATTCTTTTTAAGTTTGCAGCATTTTTTTCCCCAAAAGGGGTTGATTTCAACAATTACTATGTAGGAAAAGGATCAGCTGCAGGTAGTATTTGAAAACCCAACTGATATTTTCCTTCTGTGCCTGAAACACCCTTTATGGGCAGAATTGGCCACGGCTCTTCCATCTTTTCATTT